GGGGTTTCTGTCTCTGTCCCTGTTTTCTGGATAAGGAGACTGAGGTTTGGGGAAAGGAAATGGCTGAGAGAGGGGACTTTATGGTGAGGTGGAAAGTCATGGGAAAGGGGCTAAGGGTCCAGCAGGGTGGAGACATGTCCCCTGACTTCTCTGTCCACCCTTTCCCTCCAGCACCAACAGCAAGTCTTGGGAGCCATCGAGAGGGCTAAACAGGTCACTGCTCCCGAGCTGAACTCCATCATCCGGGTACGTCCAGGGCCTGGGCCAGGCGTGCAGGAGGTGGGTGGGTGGGTCCTGGGACAACCAGGGCTGACACTCCCCTTCCTCACCCCTGCAGCAGCAGCTCCAAGCCCACCAGCTGTCCCAGCTGCAGGCGCTGGCCCTGCCCCTCACCCCACTGCCCGTGGGGCTGCAGCCGCCCTCACTGCCAGCGGTCAGCGCGGGCACCGGCCTCCTCTCACTGTCCGCCCTGGGCTCCCAGGCCCACCTCTCCAAGGAAGACAAGAATGGGCACGATGGGGACACCCACCAGGAGGATGACGGGGAGAAGTCTGATTAGCGGGTGGCCGGCTGGCCGGGATGGAGGGGAGGCAGGGACAGAGAGGAGACAGATAGGAGAGAGAGGAAGGTTCATGCCCAAGCCACGGTATAGCTCCAGATTGGTTCAACTCCGGTAGTATTTATGGCAGCCACCTGCTGGGGCCCTAGCTCTGCTCTTGGGGCTGCCCCCTAGCTTTGCACCTCCCCCACCTGCCCCCACACACTCCACTCCCGACCTCCAACCTTCCTCCCCCCTCCTCCACCTGCTCACATCACAGCGGAGGCCAGCCCAGATGAAGGCCAGAGGGGGCAAATGGGAGGCCAGGACCAAAGGGGGCAAAACCTTCAAGTTCAGCACCCCCTGCACTTCCTCGTTCTGCACATGTAACTGACAGACCACCCTGCACTCCTGGGGGCATGACACAGCCACCCTCCCTGGCACTGCATGCGATAAGATGCTAGCTGCCCTCCTCCCCCCTTCCCGCCCCAGCACTCCTCGTCTCCCCCCACCCCGAGTTCTGCTCCCACCTTCCTCCTGCCCATACTCCTCCTTGCTTTGGGGTGCTCCATGCCCCACTAGGTCCTCTCTCTTCCCTCCCCAACAGAAGAGGGGGACAGAGGGGCAGCAAGCTTAGCTGGGACCAGCAGGGTGGGGGTGGGCGACCCAGGCTTCCTCTCCCCACCCCCTTCCCAAATAAAAATGAGGGTACTAAAGTTGTCTCTTGTTTTGTTTTCTTTTGTTACTTTTGTCCCCACCCCCATCCCCCGTCCCCGTTCCTACCTTTGGGTTTTTGTTTTTTTTTCCAGTACACTAGCTTGTCTTTTCAGAAAGTGAATTTTCAAAAGAAAAATGTTGGGGGTTAAAAAAAAAAAGTAACACCCACACACCTGTGTCTGTATATAGCCTTTTAGATTGCTAGCTTTCCACTCACTCATGCGTGTTCAGTCGTTTGATCTCTGCGGAGAGAAGTGGGGATGCTGTATAAGAGGGTGGGCTTAGCTGTGCCTTTCCAATAAAGATGTGAGAAGGTTTGCCCCTGTGTCCCTGCCTCTGTCTGTTGAGGGTGGCTGCACAGTGCCCCCACCCCCACCACTGCCCAGGGGAGAAGGGGGCTTCCTTTGAGTCTCAGTGGCCTCTTCCCTGGGCCACTGTTGGACGGGCCCTGCACCTCTGTGCGTTGCCCTAACACCCGAATGGTTTGCACAAGGCCCTGCTGGGGGCTGGGAGGGGGCGGAATAGTGAGTTGGGGGCTTGAGGTTGAACCAGCTGTCTTGGCCCAGGGTGGGAGAATCTTAAGCTTTGTGGGATCGGAAATGGCCCAGTCTGCTCCGACACCCTCTGGGCAGGCAGGCACACGCACTGCACACACTTTCATGGATCGGAAAACTGGGACCGGCCCCAATGTTGTGGCGGAATCTTGCTGAGCACAGCCTCCACCTTCCAAGTGGACCCCACTTCCTCTACCCACTGGAGAAATGAGGAAAGGAGGCCCCCAACATTCCCATCTTAGCCCTAACCCTCGGGGTGGGGGGCGGTGTGTGCGCTGCTCAGCCAGAAGTGGGGAGAGTGGCCGTCAGTCCCAGGCTGTACAAATTAACTAGACACCCCTCGGAAGAAACGCCTGGCTTCAGAATCCCCGAGCACCGAGAACCCCGTGGGTTGCAGATCAGGAAGGCAACGCAACCCCGGGCAGTTACCTTTGGCTGTGCACAGGGTGGCTGCGAGAGTCTCCAGGGCGAACAGTACCCCACCGCCACGTGACGCATCCCACACACCACGTGAGGTGGTAGAACAAAAGGCGCTGGCTGCCGTGTGTGGAGCGGAAATGCCTCGTGGTTCCATTTATATCAAGAACAAAAACAGCAAAGCGGGCCAACTCCCGGAAGTCTCAGCGGGAAACACCCTTACTGGAGGGCTGTGTGTGTGTGTGTGTGTAGGGGCGTGGGGCTGCTACTAGGAGGCCTGTCCTGGTTGACCCCAGGGCTGAATGCAAGAGGGGCCTCACTTGGTGAGCATCCATGGACCTGTGGCTAGAACGACTTATGTGTGGTCAGTTCGGTATGGGTACACTGGCTCACACCAAAACTTGGTCCTATTTCAGCCTATGACAGAAATCAGATTCTCCTGGCCCTTGGGATCCATCCTAAAGCCCTCACCAGACCCAGGAGACCTTGCAAGGCCAGGCCCGCTGTCCGCCCTGCCAGTCAACCACCTTGGAGTTAGCAGGCTGCTGCCAAGCACATCATCTAGCTGTCCGCCGCCTCAGGGCCTTTGCACATGTTCCCACTGCCAGGAACTGTGTTTTCTTCTTGGTCCTCCCCAGAGTGTCTCCTCCTTCCAGACTCTGGAACCCACTCCATTTCTGGAAGCTTGCCCTTCCATCCCCCCTCCAAAGCAGGGTCCGGAGACATGCCCTTAAATCAGGGCAACCCCGTGGCTTGCAGACGGATTCTACCTCTGGGTAGAGTTGCACACCCGTGGTGGGCTTACCAAGCTCTGGAAGCAGGTTGCCAGGTCTTTGAAGTTCAAAGTGCCAACCTGTGGCTTGATCGTCACGCAGGCTTAACCATTTGGGCCACCGCAGGACTGACACCCTACCTCTCTTTACCAAAGCGAATAAGCAAACACCCAGTCAAGGCTGCCTCTCAGTCACCACCAGAACGGAGCAGAACTGCCCTGTGTTCCTGAGACTGACAGCCTCCTTTTTCTCCCGCAGAGCGGCTGGGGGTTTTGAACTGTTGACCTGATGGTTAGCAGCCCAACGTGTACCCCAACACATCCCCATAAATGCCCAGAGCCTGTCGAAAAGCGGCAGCTGTTACTAATGGGTCCTGTAAGGGTTTCTGACTGATCGTGGTGGTGGTGGGGGTCTCCCCTATCGGCTGGCCTCCTGGCCTCTCATGACTGCATCATTTAAGCCAGGGTAGCATTGGCCTCAATGCCCCACACCAAGTCTGTCTCCTTTATCTGTATTTGGAAATCCGCCCGCAGGATGTTTGATCAGGGTCCACTGCAGCTCTGATCCTGCGGGGACACGTGAATGGAGACACTGGGCCGGACTCCATTTGGGGACACTGTAGGGAGAGGAAGGGGAGATACATATATTGGGGGGGGGGCTAGCTGTTGTCTGACATTAATTACTGTTACTTTGGTGGATGGTGGTCACGCTGGCTGAAGGAGGGTGGGAGGTCGCCCTCTGAGTTCAGGATCTCTCCTGGAAGCAGGTGGGAACCCACCCCCCATTCCCGCCCCGCAGGAACCCCCTACCCCGCCCCTTCGTCTGGGAACGGTCACAGGAGGGGTCAGGGTGGGGTCCAGGCGTTGCCGGCGGGCGCAGTGACCACAGGGTCCTCCGGGAGCGCGCCGGGAAGCCCAGGCGCCTCCACAGCCCCCTCCCCACCGCGGCCTCCCGGCGCTTAACGACTCCGCCGCCGGCGACCTCGGCTAATTGATCCGCTAATGGGCCCCGCGCCGGGC